TCAGAAAGCAGAGGTAGGTCTGAATGAATTCTAGGCCAACAGTGTCAAGAGCAAATGGTCTCAAAAAAAATAAAAAAAAAAACAACCAAAAAAGTCCTCTAGATCTATCCTACCCACCACGAAGCGATGGCCCCACTCAGAGCCCAGCAATCCCCATGATCACTGAAGCACCTTTAAAAGGTAGGGGCTATTACTCCTGTAATCCAGTTGAGGGAAAGGGGACAATTCTAAGCAGGACTGACTAATCTCAAAAACCCACTTGGCCAGATTTGTTAGCACACACCTTTAATCCCAGCACTCAGGAGGCAGAGGCAGGTAGATCTCTGTGAATTCTAGGCCAGCCTGGTCTACAGAGTTCCAGGACAACCAAGGCTGTTACACAAGAGAAACTCTGTCTCGGAAACAACAAAAGCACATTTGCATAGCTGTTAGTATCAAGTGCTCACTTTGAATTCACAGGAACCTCTGCCTGGAAGAAAGCTCTGGCCACAGTATCTCCCTTCAAGCTCTTCACAGAAGAAAACATCAAATTATTTAACGTCTTTCTCCCAACATCCCAGAATACTAAAATGTTCTCCTGGTCTGGATTTGCCATCTCTTACCAGGGTTCCCCTTCACCAGTCCCGGCTCCCTAGACCCCATGTTTGCCTGTGTCTCGGTTTCTTCTGCCACCTGATAATTCCTAGGACATGTGGAATGTGTATGTGTAGAACTAGCCCTCCTCAGTCCTCATTCATGGCACAACTATAGAAAGGACTCCAGGCTAAATGACCAATTCCTTCAGAATTAAAAAAAAAAATCAATTTGGAGGTCTGTAGGGGAGGGGTGCAGGCATGGGTGTGCAACGGAGAATATGTGGAGCACAATTTTTTGGAGGTCGGTTTTCTCCTTCCTTGTTTTTGAGGCAAGGTCTGTGGTTATTTTGAGGCTGAATTTTGTGCTGTTCTGTCTTGTGTAAGCTTCAAGCCAATTCCGTCTGCCTTCCATCTTACTGTGGGAGTGTTGGGCCTAAGATTACAGATGCCAGCTACCACATCTGGCTTTTTAAATGAGAGTTTTGGGAATCTATCTCAGGTTATCGAGTTTTGATGAGAAATGTCCCCCCATAGCGTCAGTTGTTTGACTACCTGGTCCCCAATTGACGGTGCTGTTTAGAGAAAGGTGTCAGCCACATAGCCTTGCTGGAGAAAGTATGCCATTGGGGGGTAGGCTTTGAGAGTAAAAATACTCATCTACTTCTAATTTGCCCTCTCTGCTACATGCTCGTGGTTGAGATGCAGGCACTCAGTTCCCATTCCTGGCACTATAGCTACGATTTGCTCCCATGCCTCTTAGATGAACCCTCGGGAACCACAGCCAAGATACACCCTTCCTCTTAGAGCTGCCTTGGTCATGGTGTTCATCACCACAGCAGAAAGTGCCTAATGTATCAGGGATTCCAGGTAAGTGCTTCTCCCCACAGATCATCCTGCTAGCCCTTCCTGTGGAATTCTGACGGCTCGGATACAACGGCATCCCACTTTAGTCCACTGGGGAGCCTGGGGTTTCCTGGAGAAGCTGTGCAGGTTTGGAGCTCAGTGTGGACTTACGTTCACTATGCTAGAAACAGGACAGTCGTTTTTTTAGAAGCCGATGTCCTTCGGATCTCAAAAGGTTATATTTTTGACTTTCCCCTACCCCAACCCTCTGTATGTTTCTCTGTGTTCTGTTCTCTGTGCTGTAGTTTAGAAAATATCCCTAAAAGGCTCATTGTTAAGGACCTGGCTGGCAGCCTGTGCAGCTACAGAGTGGTTCAATTAAGATGTGGGACCTACTAGGAGGAAATGGGTACCAGCAGCACAGCAGCACCCAATTTCAGGAGACATGGGACTCTAGCCCCACTCTCCTCCCCAGCTTTAGCTTCAACTTGGCATTCCACTTCAAGTTTTCTGCACTTTTCTCTCAGTCTCTCTCATTCCACTTAACTGCTGACAACCCTTTCCTTCCCTTCTCCCTTCTTCACAGCCCCTGCTCTGCTTTCATGAACACAGCACCCGTTCCTTTCTGGGAATTAAATTTTATTCTACTTTTCTTTCTTTTTTCCTCCTTTTTTTGGGGGGAGGGCTGAAGACAGGGTTTCTCTGTGTCCTGGAACTAGTTCTGTAGACCAGGATGGCCTGGTACCCACAGAGATCCACCTGCCTCTGCTTTTTGAGTGCTGGGATTAAAGGTGTGCACTACTACTGCCCAGCTTTATTTTACTTTTCTGTGTCCTTGGATTCTATTAGACTTTATTTTCCTCGACAATGTGGTCGCTGTAGGCTGCTGCCTGGAGACTAGCATTTCAGAAGGCGGTAGGAAGGGGAAAGCTGCATCATCTGGTCTCCAGGGAAGGGTGAGCTGTCAGATGTGTTGGAAACGTGATGAGCTGTTTTCCTTAGCTAGAAAACTCTGGCACTCAGTATGTAGAGGATTCTGCTCTTGAACTGGTCACTTTCTTCAGAATAGAGGCTCCAGTTCCAGGCCTAGGGTTCTAAGTCTAGCTGGCAGTGTTCTAGAGACTGGACAGTTCTAAGAGATTATGTTCCCTTTTAGAACAAGGTACTAGAAGGTTAGAACACAGCTCAGGGGAATATATAGGGCTTACCTAGCACACACAAGCCCCACGTCCTATCTCCAGTTCCTCTGCTGTTTCAGAGACTGTGGCTAGAGGCTTATCAAGCAGAGATAGGCATTCCCAACCCACATTCCTTCCCTTTGGTCTCACCTGCAGCATGCGGCTGTGAAAGTGGACAAAGTCTAGGAAAGTATGAAAGAACGTTAACGGAGAATACAAACTAGCAACTGTTGGGAATCACGCCTCTTGATAAGCACACATTCTCCATCGCCAGAGCTCCACCTTGTCTTAGGCCTGTTCTCATGCCCACGCATCTAGAAACCCACCAGGCTCCTAACATATGGGACAGAGGAGAGAAGTGAGGTGTAATGCTTCTCCCGCAGACTGTCAGCATGCCTGGTTTTAGTCCTGTCCATATTTATCCTTTCAAAAGCATCTGGAATCTCTGATTTCCTAGCTTATTTCCAGTCGAGAGGTATCAGCCTCTAGCTGCCACCCTTTATAGGAACTTTAGTTTTCCCAGTCTGTACTGCCTGCTACTACAGCAGTTTTGAGCAGCAAGTGTTGCAAGAGTCCCTGCATGCCTGCTGCCCTGCTCCTTGTACTTCTCGGTTTTCCCCTGCAATGTCTCTACAATCGCTTTGGACGCACTTGGGTGGAATGCAGAGAAAAACATTTACTTTCCAAACGTCCTATCTTGCTGAAAGCTCCAACTTTCAGATTTTACAAAGATTTGGCTAAATAAGAAATAAACAGGACAAGAGTAAAAAATAGGGAAAAATAAAGGCCTTTTGGTTGCTAAGGTTTTATAGCCTACTTGTGCTTGTGAAAGTTTCTTTTTATAAACTTATGTGCATGAGTGTTTCGCCTACATGTGTGTCTGTGTACCATGTGTGTGCTCTCAGAGGCCAGAAGGTATCAGAACCTCTGATCTGAAGTTTCAGATAGCTGAGAGCCCCAGTTGGGATCCTGGGAATTGAACCCAAGTCTTCAAGAAGAGCAGCCAGTGCTCTGAACCACTGAGTCATATCTCCAGCCTCTAGCTTAAGCTTCTTTACAGTCTACTCCTGTCAAGTATTGACTGCTTAACCTTTGTGTATGTGATGGTGTGCGTGCATAGAGGTCAGACGTCTGTATCAGGTCTAAGTCAATTGCTATCTAACTTAATTTTTTTTTTTTGAAACTGGGTCTATCATTGAGCTCAACAATTAGGTTAGAAGCCAGCAAGCATCAGGGATCCACTTATCTTACCTCACACCCCCTAAGAATCCCTAACAATGAGATTACAGTAAACTCAGCTTTTACCTGGGCTCAGATTTTTTAAAAAATGATTATTTATTTTCATATGCATTGGTATTTTGCTTACATGTATGTCTGTGTAAGGGTGTCAGAACCCCTGGAACTGGAGTTACAGACAACTGTAAGCAGCCATGTGGGTGCTGGTAACTGCACTCAGGTCCTCTGGAAGAGCAGCCAGTGCTCTTAACTGCTGAGCCATCTCTCCAGTTCCCGTGAACTCAGATTCTTATGCTTTTTTGGCAAACACTTTACCTACCAAGCCATCTCCCAATGCTGCTTAGCATCTTGGAACTTTCTTACATGTAAGATGCTGATGCTAAGACCTACCTTGTAGAGTCACAAGAAGAACAAGCAGCGCAAAGCAAGCAGTCCTGTGTGATGCACACATAGCAGTTACGGTATCATAGTTAAAAATCGCCATCATTTAGTAACCTTTTGCTGTGACAGTGTAACAGTTTCTCCTGCATTTGTGGCAAAAGTACAGCATAGTGACATATAGTATATAATGCTTGAGAATCAACTACCATGCTACTGGTTTACACAGCACTATGATAATTTTAGAATGCATTCTTTCCACCTCAAGAAAATGTTTATTTCAAGTAAGCAGTAAGCCTGTACAATCCAGCCAACCATGTACACCCTGTGCTGACTACCTCTTGATTACACCAAGAGGCCACACCAAGTGACTGACCCTCGCCATTTATGTGTGAGTACATGTTGTCCTGTTCACACTTTGAACACATCCTCATGTTATCTGACATGATTGTGCTTCAAAATAGGGCTGGGTAAACAGCTCAGTGGTAGAACCTTTGCTCCCAGCACACACAACACTCTAGGTTCAGAGGTTAAGCCCCCAGTACCAAAAAAGGAATGAATGAAAGAATGAAGGGCCTGGTGCAGGAGGAAGACTGATGGAGGATGCCTTTAGAGGAGTCTGCTAGAATGCAGGGCTGCTAGGGTTCAGTGGACATGTCCCAGGTCTTTAGACGAAAGCATTGAGCACTAAAGGACTGAATAAAGAGTGTAATCTTCACACTCCAAGGCAGAGTGTCACCAAAGTAGAGGACAGCGGAGAAACCCAGGTGGAAACAGGCTCTGTTCTTACCTTTCTTGGTCTTACAGGGACCACACTCAGGGTGAATCTCCTGCAAGGGAAGAGACACCACCTTGGCCAGCCCAGCATTCAACATGTACTGGTACAGACGCTTGAATGTCCTTTCACACAGCCCCTGCAAAACACAAGCCCATGGGCACTGCTAAGCAAGGCACTTGGGAACCCCAGCACCGAGGAAACAGCACTGTTCGGGACGGGAGTTACCAGCGGACAGGAAATGAAGAAATACTGCAGGAACTAACGAGGCTGCCAAGCTGCATTCAGGGAACCAAACAAGCTCTGGAGCAGCACAGAAACCACCTTGCTGTGGATACAAGAGGGGAAAGAGATGTACAAAAGAGACCCTGGACAGGTGGACAGGGAGGAGGTGAGACAAGTGGGGGCAGCACTGAGAGGAGGATTTTCACCAGACACTTTCCATACTGTATCTTTTTAATCTAAGTGTGCACATGAATTTTTCTTTTTTTTTTCTTTTCTTTTCTTTTTTTTTTTTTTTTTGAGACAGAGTTTCGCTGTAGCTTTGGAGCCTGTCCTGGAACTAGCTCTTGTAGACCAGGCTGGCCTCGAACTCACAGAGATCCTGCCTCTGCCTCCCAAGTACTGGAATTAAAAGAACACGCCACCACCACGTGGCATGTGCATGAATTATTAATAAAAAGACAGCCTTCTCCAAAGCAGTGGAACAAAAAACAAAACAAAAATTTTAAAGTTATCTAAGGAACCAAAGAGATGGTCCAGTGGGTGAAGGTACTTGCTAGCAAGCCCAAGGACTTGAGTTCTATCCCCAGGACCCACACGGTAACTGGGAGAACCAGCTCCAGCAAGTTGTCATTTGACACAGTCTCTCAGGCACCAGCCAGGGAGAGGTAACCAAACACCTCTTGAGTCAGCAGAGCACATGGTCCCCACGGTACTGAAGGCCTACACTCCCTGGCAGACTCTTACACAGCACAGCTGAAGGTCAGCTGCTGCCTGCTGTCTGTTACACGTGTGCCACATTTCTCTAATGGCTGACAACCAAGTTTTAAAAAATCCATACTGGGTAAAATGTCCTGCCTCCAGCCAATCTACTCCTGGCCCTTGCTGCCACCTGGCTGTATAACCCCTGGACAAGCAAGGTATGAACTGGCTGAGAAGGTGCTCATGACTCAGGCCTGCTCTGAGTCTTAGGGACTGCTTCAGACACTGGAGTAGACAGCAAATGCCTATGGATCTGGCACACATCTGCAGCCCACTCAAAGGAACCAGCACTTTCACCGTTGGGCTAAAAAACATATGGTTACCCAAGATATCCAGATGAATCCCATCTGGCTCCTTCAAATACGCTGGTTTGTACATGGTGCCTGTCATTAATCTAGCTGAGCTTCTCAATGACAAAGAGCCTTTGGAAATTTATCCATCAAAACGCAAGCCAAGAACATGGTGTTGAGCTCTGGACCATCCAGAATGAGGGAAGATGATGTAGTCTTGCCTTCAGGGGACCTGCACATTCTGTCCAGCAGCAAGATCAGCAGGAGCCCTGCCAAGGGCAGCATCCACCTCAGCTATAGGCCAATTTAGTTGGCTCTCCTTGGACTCTACTGCCAGTTGCAGACTGGATATCTCCAGAGAACACAGAAAGCCTTCATGTTCGATAAATCTCAGGCTCAATTCCACAGAATGCCACCCCCCCCCAACTGTTCCTTTTTCCTACACTGCCCTTGGCACAGAACACACAGCAGCCCAGAATGAGCCCGGCCTCACCTTCTCACCAGCAGCCTGCTGTCACATCCCAGTCTACCTAAGTGTTGGCCATTCAAACCAAAAGTCTGAGCTGCACCTTCAAACCTTGTATCAGTCCTCTTACATCCTAACTTGGCCACCAATCACCACTATGAGTGTCACCTAGCCTGCTGGCCAGGATCCAGTCCTCCTTCTCTCAGTGCCTCATGCTCCCCGTTTCCTTCTTTCTGGGCTTCTCCATGCAGCCACTGACACAGAAACTTCCTGAGGTTGAAGCATCCAGACTCCAGTCTAAGCCAGACTCTCAAGAACTCCGTCATCTTCCCTTACCTCCAGCCATCCAATCATTGCTGGCCTCTGAAAGCCCCATCTCTGCTGGGGAAAGTCTTGCCCCACTGCGAACTGCTCTGTGAAGCAGTTGTCTAGGGCCTCCCACTTTCCTTGTACCCACTAGTCCCCCCACCCCCAATTACACGGTCCTATGACAACACCACCTGCCATCTTCACCCACTTCTGCAACTTTGGAGTTTGACCCAGCTCTGACTAAAAACACTTGCTGAACCACGTGCTCAGAGATAACCATGTTCCGGAGCAGTGAGGCCACAGTGCTGACCGGAGCAAGATTAGCCTGCTTCCTGTCCTGAGGGAGGCATACAGCAGTGTCCCAGTCCCTAGTGAATACACAGGGTCAGAGGACATCGGAGCAAACACTGGCTTTCTTCAGCCTGTAGCAATTTTCCTCACTTCTATTTAAGTCTCCTGAAAGGTTTTTTGTTCAATCTTCCCTTGATTTCCCATTTTTTGATCAACCGAGACAGAGAAATTACACTCTGATCCCAAACTACAGGACATCTGGGATGGCAAAAGCACTGGTTCTCTCAATATATGGGAGGTAACAGGGAGTGGAGGAACTTGGCGGAGCTGGTCAGTTGCAGATGGTTGCCATCATGAGCACCTACGGGGCAAGGCTTGCCTGAGCTTTCAAACTTAAATTTCTATCTGAAATCTCAATGTGAACAAACAAGAAAGCCAGGCCACTTTGAGGCCCCTCTGAGGAGACGGGAATGCACTGGATACCACAATGGGAAGAGGCCCTCTCCCGATAAATGATGAAATCCAAGTCTAGCAGAGCACAGGGAGATTCCTGTCTACTGTCCTCATGTATGTGATCAGAGAGACCACTGAGTCCCCCTTTGGGGACTAATTACTGCACTAAACAACAACAACAAAAACCCAGATTCTGATGTGCAGCTTCCAGCTCTGTGGTTTGACCTCCAGGCAGTCTCTTCTAATGCCTAATACTGGTTCTTGGCTAAGTTCCACTCAGAACCATCCCTTGGCTGTCAGGCAGCAATGCCACTGAGCCTCCTCTCACACTCACCCCTTCACAGCTGCTACTCCTGAGCCTAAGACACAGAAGGTCAGTAATTGCTTTTTTCTTCCTATTACTTCAGCATAAAACCACTGGGAGTAAAATTACAAGTTTCACGATGAAAGAAAATCTAAATGTCAAAATTTACCATCCCACATGAACTCTGATGGTGGGTCTGAGAGCAAACCTCAGAGGAAATGAAGTCAGTCAAGGGTAAGAATTTCAAAGAAAAGCAACATTTTCTCACTGCGCAAAAGAAAGGAAAAGGCCAGGGTTGGGGATATAGCTCTGGGTAAACGCTTAGCAAGTTTTAATGTTCGATTCCCAGCACGACAAAAAATAAAAAAGAAAGGAAAAGGCCATTTGAAGGGCTCTGGGAGGGGCAGCAAGTCTTCAGTGCACCCCCTTTCAAACTCCCCAGGTGGTGTGCAGCTTGTAGCCCCACCTCAAGGGCTTACCAGTTCCTCCCTCAGCTTGCCCAGAGTCTCAATCTGGTTGCTTCGTGTGCTCAGCATCATGGACAGCTTCTCCATGAGGATGTCATACTTGCTCCTCCTGAAAGAGATACCAGCCAGTCACCTGTTGGTCACTTAAGACCAGCTGACCTTTAGAGACGACGACAATTCATGTCCAAAGCTATAGTGACAGTGTACAGACTAGATCCCAGGGCAGAAACATCAGTGCAATGATTCTCTAAACCTTCTTACCTTTGAATAGCACTTTAAAGGTTATGGGGGCCTTTCAAGTTCTGCCTTACATGCCACTTGAAGAGGAGTGGGGGTTATTTCATGATGAAGGTTTCTCCAAAATCCAGGCCCAAGGCTAGAAGCACCTTTGCCTTTATGTTGCGCTCCCTTCACTCCATCAAGCCCTCTCCTGTTTCTACTTCTGGATCCCCTGGTGTGACTGACCCACTGCTCACCTCCCCTGTAATATGAAGTTGATGTGTCATTATAAATGTTTCCAAGATAACAGCTTCCAAGGAAGCTGATGCTCATGGAGCCTATGTCTGGGGAAATAAAGAGGAGTCGCTCTGCCAGTTCAGCTAGCCATGGGCAACTTGGCTTGACTCCTTGTTAGAGGGGAAGAGAAAGCACACGCACGACATCCTTGGTGAGGGAAAGAACAAACAGGATGCGGGCACTGCACTTGGCTCTGGCACATGGGCAGCACTACCATGACCACTTTACACAGGGAAACAACAGGTCAGAGGCACAGGGACTCTGTCCAAACTGAAACGAAGATATTGACGTACCCTGAGCGCTTTCCCTAGCCCCCAGCTGCCACCCTGTGCATTTTCTCCATCCCTTCTGCTATCATCAGAGGTTGCTGGTAAACCATAAGCCACATGCTTGAGTGGGCTATTGATGCTGTTTGTTTTTTGAGACAGTCTCACTCTGTATCCCAAGCTGCCCTCAAATTCAGGATCTCCATGCCTCGGCCTCCCAAGTGCTGGGATGACAGCTATAGGCTTCCATGCTAGGCCAGTCACAAGTTTGATAATATAGTTACTTAACTAATGGATAGTATGAACCATTAAAATGTTAAAAAAAAATCTTTCCAAAATAGTATTTTTAAAACACAGGCTGAGATGGCAGAGTTGGCAGTAATGGAAGATGAATTAGGACTTGTGCCATTTTGATGTACAGGTGTGAAGGGCACTCAGAATCACAAGATGTCTGACAAGAGTACAGACGGCTTTTACTGGACACCCAGTCAACAGTCTGCATCTGAGTATGCACCTGAGCCAAGTCAGAGGCACTGCAATGGGTGTTAAAAATTAAAGTTATACTTAACCACGAATGCTTACTCACCACCCTCTTTGAGGGTGCACCTGGCTAAAGGGGGTAAAGGGCAGAGACAATTGGCTAGAGGAGAATCGGTTATGGTTCAGGGATGCATCTGTTCACCTGTTTACCAGTGGCCTTTTGGTACCACCTACCTCCACCATGAAGTTGGGTGACTAAACTTGAATTTTTGGAGCATATACATCTCAGGGCTGCTTTTCTAGATTCTGTACCTACTTGGCTATCACCCACCCTGGCTTCTGCTCCTCCTACAGAGATGGTTATGGTGGACTAGGAAGAGGCACAATTCTTGCTTCCATGCTCTTTTCCAGGGTAATTACTCACTCAAAAAGAAAACACTTGTTCACTCCCAGACTCCCCAGTCCTTAGAAGGAAATATGCTTGCTTTACAGTGAAACTATACTATGCAGCTAAAATGACACCTTCCCACACTGTGACCATTTTGATGAACCTCAATGTATCATCACACAATGATTATTAGGATGTATGACTGAAACGCTGTCAATCAGAGATCAACATAATTCAACAACTTATCCACTGCATCCAATCAAATTTGGTTTACTTCAATATTTTCTTCCCCACACTTCAACAAAATGTTAATTAATAGTGCTATTGTTGGATTGCATTTTTTCCCTTTCTTTCTGTATTCAGAAACCCTCAGTCAGGTTTTCTAAATGAGCAAGACATACTTTCATCAGAAACAAACATAAAATATCTTTCTGGAAAGTTTAGCTTTTGATTTTTAAGAACCTTAAAAACATAACACAAGTAGTTACAACATGAAAGTAACCAAATGTTTTGTTTTCTACAAACCACACCTGTCCACATGAAAGCGGTTCAGGAGCAGGAGGATGGAGTGTTGCTGGGCTCCAGTAGGTAATCGGATCACATGTGACTGCATTGTAATCAGTCCATTCTTGTTGAGGATCTTCCTGTGATAATGAAGCTTCCCAGCGTCGACCCTGCAGAAGGGAGTGTGTCATCCAGTTTGTTTTATAGTAGCTTTACCCTCACAATGTAGTTTCTTACATGCACATAAATACCAGACACACACACTGTCTAGCCTGTTAGCCTAAAAAGGTCACAAGAGGCAATGGCCTGGAACAAAAAGCCATGCCTTGGGGAAGACATGACAGCAGGCCCTTGCATTTGGGGTGCATACATAGGCCTTGTAATTTAAAGTGGAGGCACTAGCTTGGCCCTTACTTGAAAGCCGTGGTGTGGAGGTCTCTCTGAAGCTCCCCTTGCCACCTAGACCGGCCTAACCGCTCCAAAATGCAGTAGGAGAAATCAGGAAGCTTCAGGTCAGGATCTCCCTCCAGGCCTATCAAGGCCCTGTAGCGCATGTCCTGGGAGGCCACGATGATGAGCTTCTTACCCCACCTGGAAGTTATAATCACATGTAAGGAAACCAAAGCACAAGAAAGCAGGGACTTCTGTCATTTCTGTGAGCACAGTCGCAGGAGCAAACTAGAACAGAAAGTGTCCCAAACAGGGTGCTGCTGTGATGGGCCTGACTATGTGGCTTCTATGTCCTGGGCTCTTTCGAGGGAGACATGTGGGGGATATGGGCCTTTGGGCAGAAAACTGAATATTGAGTTTAATGGGCTGTTGTGGAAGCTGGAAGACAATGCTAACAGCACTTCAGACACAGAGGCTCTTCCACCTGCCTCAGGTGTTGAACCACTGGAGTTTTTACAGGATGTTAGGACTTTTGAAAGGAATGACCATGGCTATAGTGATATAGTTACGCATTAAGTTGAAAGGGCGTCATATGGAAAGAGAGACCTCAACTGAGGAACTGCCTTGTTCTTTTCATTAGACTAGCCTGTGGGTATGTCTATGGGACATCTTTTTGATTAATGAAGATACCAGAGGGCCCAGACTGCTCTGAGCAGCCCTGGCCAGGCGGTTCTGGCTATATAAGAAAGCAAATTGATTTGCAAAAGAGCTAGGATTGGTTCCCAGCAACCACACAGTGGCTCACAACCATCTGAAACTCAAGTTCCAGGGGATCTGATCTGCCTTCTTCTGACCTCTGTAGGCACCAACCACATATGCACTGCATGCACATACAAGGCAAAATACTCAAAAGAAAACAAACTGAGCAACCTATTGAGAGCAAGCCAGTTGCAGTATTCTTCCATGGTCTCTGCCTTAGTTCCTGCCTCCAGGTTCTTATCTTGGTTTCCATTAATGATAGACTGTGATTGGGACATGTAAGCCAAATAAATCCTTTCTTCTTAAGTTTCTTCCCAAAGACCATGGTTACAGTGGTATATTATTTGTGCTTTAATAAATAAAGCTTGCCTGAAGGTTAGTGCAAAGCAGCCGCACTAGTCAGTCATAGAGGCCAGGCAGTGGCCATACGAGTTAACCATAGAGGCCAGGCGATGGTGGTACAAGCCTCTAATCCCAGTACTAGAGAGGAATACAAGCGGGGAAGGCACAGTAACTCACTCTCTTTCAGTCTGAAGATTTCAAAGAGGTAAGAGCTCTCTAGTGGCTTGGCTGCTTTTTCTTTTTCTTTTTTTTTTTTGTTTTTTTTTGAGACAGCATTTCTCTAAAGCTTTTTTTGGAGCCTGTCCTGGAACTAGCTCTAGTAGACCAGGCTGGCCTCAAACTCACAGAGATCGGCCTACCTCTGCCTCCCGAGTGCTGGGATTAAAGGCGTGAACCACCAACGCCTAGCTGCTTTTGCTTTCCTGATCTTCAGGTTGAACCCCCATATCTGTCTCTTAATTTTTTTAAAAAAAGATTTACTTAATTTATGTATATGATATTTTGTCTGCATGTACATTTGCACACCAAAAGAGGGCATCAGATCCCATAGGACTACAGTTTTAGATGGTTGTGAGCCACCATATAAGTGCTGGGAATTTAACTCAGGACCTCTGGAAGAGCAGTCAGTGCTCTTAACTGCTGAGCCATCTCTTCAGTTCCCAACACTCTTAAAACAGTGTGTGCGGAGTAAGGCTGTAAATGAATTACCTTGTGAGCGACACTAATAAAGCCTCAGGGTTGAGATCACCATGTGGTCAATGAAGCAGGGATCTGAGTTTTGACTCTGCTACTGAAAACCATGAAAACTTCCCACTACTGGATGTGTTATGAACAATAATGTCCCAAGCAGACCCAAAGACTTTCTAAGAGCAAGGCTCTTCAAGACGTCCCAAGTAGAGTACTGTGGGGGCTGGAGAAGACAGCTCAATGGTTAAAAGCTCTTTCTGCTCTCACAGAAGACCTATGTTTTGAGTTCTCAGACCCAACCTGTAACTCCAGAGGGTCTGATGCCCCCCCACTTCTGTCATCCTCCATGTTTTATGCTGGGGTCTCTGGATCCATAGTGTGTGATGTTTAGCTTTTAGTTTCAAGTATCAGTTTGACAAGGTTAATTAGTCCCCAGTACACTTCTGAAGCACCTGAGTATACCCGCGAGTGCATTTCTAGGGGATTAGCCGAAGGGGGAGACTTGCCATGAACAATGTGGGCTGCGCCATCCCCAAGCTAGTATCCTGAACAAAAGGGAAACAAGAAAGCCAGTCGAGCACCGGCATCCATCTATTTCATGATCTGTCAAGATGTACAAAGCTTCATGATCCTGCCATGCTTCCCTGAACATGAGGAACGAACTGCACCCTCCTCAACCATGACAAAATAAATCCTTCCTAAGTGTTTTCCACCAGGTCCTGTCACAGCAGTGAGAAAGCACCTGACACAGCCTGTATCATCACACTACGGCCAGACCTCACTGCGGCCTTGCCTAACACTGCAGACTGAGCTGCTGCACTGACTCTGGCCCAGCTCCAGGGAGGCCCAGCCCTCTCCCAGGTTTACAGAAAGCACAACTACCCATCATGCCTTTCCTCGAGAGCCATTCTGGCTCTTTTCTGTTCTGCTGTGTACTAACAGCTGGTCCTTGAGGTCTCAGCAGCCCAAGTGCTCTGCTCAGCCACAGTTTTCCGTGCTCCTGTACCTGCCAGATGATTTCACTTCTCCACATAAACAACAAAAAAAGAGGTTGTCTTTGTAACATGTGAGTCTATACAGTCCGTCCTTAAAGACTAAGATGTAAGCCATTTTCTCCTCAAAACAGGTTCATTAAGACAAACTACAAGAGGCCAGCTGGGTAAAAGTCTGGAAACAGAGAAACAGACTTGCTGCTTATTCAGTCTTGTTCAGTTTCCACCCGCATTTCATCAGGCCGACAGCTGTGGTGAGGACTGTCCTACCACCCGGATGAGCCAGAGCTCGTCTGCATTAACAACTGCCCAGCTGCTGGTCCCAGGGTTCTTGCTACAACACGTTTGTGGATTGTGACCACCACTTTGGTGTCTGATGCTGGGCACAGTGTAAGGAGCCAGGACACCGAGATAAATGAAGAAAAAAGAATCTACCTTTGAGGAGCTCGTAGAGAAAAGCCAGAAGATGAATGGCCACACCAGGGGCTCTCACTCGAGCTTCTGAAAGGCATCTGTGTGGTCAGCAGTGAGTACACGTCACAGTCTCAGAACCCTTTGGAGCCAGCAGGGATGGGAGAGAGAAGGGCAGAAGACCCTGCCCAGTAACAGGGCAGGCTTGCTATGGAAGGCCAGGGGTGGCATGGCTGGAGTGTGGTACATGCCAGTACCTAGACAGCTAAGGGAAGTTCACAAGGTCAGCATGGCTGGAAGCTCCAACTGGATGGCACAACTTCAAACCCAACAGCCCGCACTGCATTGACAAGTACAAATGTGCCAAGCACACGTAAGACCTGAAAGGGTCAGTGCTGGGCACAGCAAAGAGACTCCGCCATTGTCGAGCTAATGGTCTCCTAGTAGGGAAGAATGCTGCCAATGAACACTTAAAGTGACTTTGGCCCAATTCAATGGTTTTGCTAGCTCTAACTGTGACCTTCCCACACGTGGTCAAATTCTGGAAACCCAAATGTGCTCAATTGTTCACTGTGCACTCTTTCCTCGCTAGACCAGGGTAATCTGGTAGTGCCTGGGCAACAAGACACTTGGTGAGGGGTGCAGCTGATGCTGGGATGGGGTGCTGGTCTGAGGGCAGCACACTCCTTTCTTTTCAGAAACAAGGGGGCGGGGCTGGCAGGGTCCCCGTGAAGCACAGGGAAATCAGCACCTTGAGGGTGGCTGGGTGAGAGCGGGGACAAGGTCACAAGGGCCTCTGGGCCACAGTAAACAGAACATGACCATTGGTGTGGCAAGTGAGTAGCTGGTACCCAGCTTATCTGAAGGGGACTGTGATCTATGCTGTCTTATAAAAATCAGACTTTCATATGACTAAACCTTGTGGGCCCCCACCCCCTACCCCCAAGGAGATACTGGAAATCCATGTTTTTAGATGTTAGAGAGACGTAATCTCTAAAATAAATACAACCTCAATCTGGGCAAACAAATCTGTGGATGATGTGGTCAGTTCAAAACCCTGGCCCCAAGCAATGGAAAGACCACCTACCACATTTTCATCCTAGGAAAACTTCCCATAGAGATAGAAGGTGGAGGAGAGACTGAACCAATGTGGTGAGACTTCCTGATTACTGGAGACAAATTTAGAAAAGTAAGGCAGTAGGCCAGGACGGACCTCTGAGTGTAGACGTCACAGAGAGAAAGGGCCTAGGAAGAGACAGCCTGGCTCGAGAGCACGCCTCTGACCAGGACAGAGATGAGCAAGAGATGCACAACTGTGAAGGAAACAACCACAGAGCACGAGAGGCCCCTCATTGAAACACTATCACCACGTGACACGCGGGAGCAGCCAACACTTGACAGGGTAGAAGCAGCGGGGGATCCACCAAAAGCTGGTGAAGGTTCAGTGAGGAAACAACAGAATGCAGGGAGCCCAGGGACCAAAGCTTCTAGAACCTTCAATGCTCCACCTCAGGGGTTAGAGACTTGCTGGTTAGGACCTAAGGAGTGACAGTGTCAGATCTACAGGGAGCAGAGAGTGGGAAGGGAAGACCCAGAGAATCCTGGGTCTCTTCCAAGAAGCCTGCTCTAAGACAAACACCATGGGGTCAAGAAGAGAAGTAGCTATCAGGTGGGTGAGCTGTCAGTGTCCTCAGGAAAAAGCCCAGAATGCGAGCAAAGTGGGAGAGCTGGGCTTATGGGAGGGGAAGGAGAAAGGTATATCCAGACCACAGCTTTGGACATTGTAACCAGGGAGAGATCAACCTTATGGCCTCAGATAAAGAGGGGAGGGTGGTGTGCAAGATCCCAGAGCTCATAAGGGCAGTTTCTCCTTGACCTGGAAGACAGAAAGGAGGTGGCCCGTGGTTGGGCGCTTGAGAAAAATGACAGTCTGGACTGGACAGCTGTGGAAGAACAGGAGAATGACTAGGAACTCACACAGGGAAGGAGGGGCGTGCAGTGCAGAGTTAGGACAAGAGCAAAAAGTGCTGGGCAGACGCCGGTTACCACCAGCTCCAAGTGTTCTAGGTCTCTGGACACAAAGGATAGAAGTCAGGACCACTGAACTCAGAAGGCAGGTCTTAGGGATGGGTGAAGGTCGAGGCTAGGGAGCTCTGGCAGACACTAAGGAGAGACACCAGATGCTGCATCTGATTTCAGAGCACCCAGATACCAGAAGACTGCTGAGGAATGTGAGCCAATTACCTGCTGAAGGCTTCCACCATCGTACAACGAGGCTGCAGACACTTGGTCCTGATGTTATTGGTAATGTCCTTCCTCTCTTTAAAGTATCGGCAGGAGCCCTGGATGCCATCCTTATTCTCTAAGATCATGTGAATGGGGTAGACATCCTCCAAAGTGACCGGGTCCCTCCTAGACTCCAGAATTCCAGTTTCCAAGTCAATTTCTTCATATCTAGGAAGGAAAACACATACATAAAGCTCCAACTCCATTTCAGAGATAACGTGCACCTGGCATCTTATGCCAACTCCGTGCAGAGACCAGTGGGAAAAGATGAGACACATAGTAGCATCATCTCTCACAGTCTTTAAGACAATACTACTGTGCAGCCTGCAGTGGCCTTGATTTTTTTGATCCTTCTGCCTCGACTTCCCAAGTGCTAGGATTACAAGCAGGCACCACCATGCCTGGCCTGCCGTTAATCTTGACAAGCAGGCCTTTTCTTTCTTTCATTTTGAGACAGGGTCTCCCATATCCTAAGCAAGGAGAGACAGCTAAGAATGACCTTGAAGTCCTGGTCCTCCGGCTTCACCTTCCATATGCTGGAATTCCAGGTGAAATCCCAACCTACCTGCTTTATACAGTTCTAAAGCTCAACCTAGCTGAGCTACACCTCTAGCCTGGGCTCTTATCTCTCTACCGCAGAGAACAAGATCTTTCTAGGATCCCAACCCACCCAGAATCGGAGACCTGATCCACCTTACTGGCAGAGCCTTTGCCTTCCCTCCAGATCTGGTTCCCGGTGTTTAGATTGCCCACCAAGGTTTGTCCTCCTCTGACAGTTTTCTCTTTAGTCATCTTTCCAGTTCCCTTATCCATTTGCATGGTCTTGACAGTTGCTCCAATTCCACACAAGCCTGCTCCCCCCACCCCATCCAGTCCCGGGAGCCTCGCACACCCTCTCAGCTGCCTCTTATCAGCAGGCATCTTTCAGTTGCATTTTTGAAGCGGGTGAACTAAGGTAAGGTATTGTTTGCCTTTGAAGCCTGGCTAGGATCCTTCTCCAGCACAGCAGACATATATACTTTTAAACTTAAAACAAAACAAAACAAAACAACACCTTGTCCTTTCTGTGAACTTTGTCCTATTTAACTCTCAATTTTCAAGTCTTCCAGGGCATACTGTGGCCGGTTTTCTCCCCCACCCACACTTTAATCTTAGTTGAAGGCACTGCGTCCTAATCTAGCCTCGAAATGTAGGTGTAGCTTAGGGAGGTGTCCAATCACAACAGACTCCTAAGTATGATCTCTTAATTACCAAGTGCGTGAATGACTCATAAAGGTCTAGCCTAGTCCCTCCCTCTGGCTGCTTTACCCACCCAATTCTGTTTACTAAACAGAACCTCCTCTTAGACTCAAAGGAGACACTGTACAGTTAGCACCTCGCTCAGACTCTCATTGTTCTGCGTCCTCCACTCTGTGAAGGGGATTAGTGTTCATTCAAGTGTCAGGAGCAGACACCGAGTATGTGGACCTCCTTTTGTCTTTCCACACCCCACATTACCAGTCACCAAATACCTGGACCGTCTTTCTAACATGTCTGTTTATTTTTTACATGGGTTCTCATCATGCAGCTAGAGTTGGTCTTGAATTCAGATCTCCCTGCCTGAGTCTGCTGGGATTACAGGGATATGCCACTATACCAGGTTACCTGGTATGTATTGATTCCATGTTCTCTTTATTCCCATCCCCACCATGCCAAACTGGTTCCTGTGAGGTTATGGCTGGGTCTCTCAATTTCACTCTGCCACTAGCCCTCAGTGACTTCTTATTGTCTCTACGGTAAAAGGACAACTTTTTCAAGTGGGTTAAATAACCATAGATTCTCTCTCAGTCAAATTTGGTTAAGGGCAGAGTGGATCTGGACCCAGATTTCCTGGATTCAAGTTTTGTAAACCTTTTTACTAGTTGATAACCTTCACCACTTAACCCCTTGGAGCCTCATTTTCTCTTTAGAATGCAAAGCTTTTCAGGGTATCTCCAGTCAACCCTCACAATAAGCATACACAAGTTGCAACCATTCTCCGCTTCCAGGTACATGCAGCCTTCCGTTAGGCTAGCCTACTTGGTGCTGTCTGCTCAGAGAGCTCTTGGCCAAGTGGCCACCTAAATCTAAATTTTAAGTCGTATCTGGCTCCTTATTGCTTCTAGTATCCTCCTCTAACCTGCATAATACAGCTGAAGAGTTCCGACTTGCCAGGCATAGTGAGTGGCGCAGGCCTGCAATCCAAATGCTAGGGTCAGAGGCAAGAGGGTATGAGGCCAGACTGAAATTACACACACACATAAACATATATGTATATCTCGTCAGCCACTTCTTGACTGAAAATTGAAGAGGGGTGGGCTGAGGCTAAAGGTGTTCTCAGTGGTAGAACTCTTGTCTAGAACATGCAAGGGGGTGGGATTCTATTCCTGGAGAAGGACAGATAAACAGAAGGTAAAAGTGCACTTAGCAATCCCTGAATTCTGTGCACATCCCTTAACATCTCGGGTCAGTTTTCTCCTCTGTAAAATGAAAAAACAAGTGTCTTGCTCACAGGTTACTGTACTGATCTGAGCTCTGTCGCTTCTAGAGATGGGTCTGGGACGTATGTGGCGAGCCCAACACACCTCAGCTTTTCGTTCACTGCTATGCTTGGTGCTGTGCGGACCTCCAACAGCCTTAGCTTTCAGAACAAACGCTCCCTAAAGGTCCCTGAAGGACCTCACCTGGTTGCACTTTTCAGCCACTTTCTTGTTCCCGTTCTACCATCCAACTTAAAGTAACTCTCTGACTCCCGCAACACACTGGGAAACGGTTCGTCTCAGTGGATGCCCCCTCCCCCAGCTCATCACTCTTGGGCCTGCCAAGGCGCAGGGAGCCCAGGTTAGCCCGCCCCCCGCGCCCTTCCCCCACGCCCCACGGTCCCGGGCAGGCGCTCTGCACTGCACCGCTGCACCCAGTCCGCTCAGGGCTCTCAGCCCCTACCCCACCATGGTGGCTGACCGGTCTTGGAGCTGCAGATCGGGTCGCTCTCGCGGCTCCTCGTAAAAACTGATGCCCGGGTGCGTGGCTAGGGCCCGCCACAGAAACTCTTGCGTGTAGGGTTCCAGCGGCAGCGGGAAGGGAGGCGAGCGAGACTCCAGGCGACTCCACAGCGCGGGCAGACACAGGCCGTCGAGCCCCTCCAGGGCCACCTCGTCCAACAACGACTCAAGTGCGTCCATGGCCGCTTCAGTTAGCAGCGCCCGGGGCGCCTGCGCACCTCGCCGCCGAGGTCCGGGCCCAGCGCGCCTGCGCACAGCGATCGGCGGCCTGGGAAAGGAGGACCAGACGCTGAGAGTAGAGGGGACGTCCCAGCGCTCCGTAGTGACATCACGATACCAGGGCGGAGCGGGCTCAATGACGGAGCTAGTTCTCCATTGGTCCGGAACCTCGTAGTAACCAGGGGAACTGCAAACACTGTCAGGGCCGCTTCCGGTTCGGGCTCCCGGAACCGCCGCCTCTAGGGATGGACGGTTAGTGTCCGTGGGCCCCGCCGGGAGGTCGGGCGGCTGTCCCCTCATCCCTCGGAGGCGTCTCGGGGCGAAATGCCAGGCCGCAGGGCCCCCGACCCAAGATGGTGTCTGGTGGTGCTGGATGGGAACCGTGACTGGGGAGTGATCCTGTAGGCAGCCCGCTCAGACCAAGGGAGTGGAGACTGGGAAGAGATTGGTGCTGGGGAGGCTTGAGGGGGATCGCGGGGGTCCCCGGATGGGCAATGGACAAGTGGAAATTGGTTGGAGGTAAGCGTGCCTCCTAGGAGTGTGTTTGTCAGCTACTGGCATGAGGAGTGGAGAGAAACGGTTGGGAATACTTTCTGTGCTTTGGTGTTGTTGGTAGCTCATGTTAGCTGAGTACTTACTATTCGGAGCTAGGGCCTTTGTAATTACCGCCACGGACGCACGTTTCACAGCATTCTTTTGGGGGTAGTTATTCGTTTTGCAGACAAGGGAACTGAGACCAGGAGGGCAAGCAACGTGCCTGCTCGAAGTCAAGTGGCTAATAAGCAACATGAGTAAGACTGTGTCTGAAGTAGACTTGTTGGAGTTTGAAATTGGAAGAAGTTTTTAGAAGCCTTTCGTTCCAGGGCTTGCCAGTGCACACGGCTACAGGGGCAACTTTGGTGGGCTGTGACAGAATCTGTTTCCGATCTGTACAGAAGCGACTGATCAGCTCTAGTCAAATGTCTTTAGGAGCAAGTCTCAAACTATGACGGCCAGTCGGCTTTAAGGCCAGAGACAGACTGGTTAGAATCAGTATGAGTGCTCACAAGCCACCTGGGAATATCTGTTCTGATATCCAGCTTTTCAGATGGGAACACTGATATCTGGGGAGATTGGAATGGTCTATACTAACATGCTGTTTCACAGTGCATTACTTCCTCTTCTGGGGAATTTGCTTTTCTTTGATAGCCAATGGATTCAGCATGGAAAGACGTGCTACTATTGGATGTATTATATGTGCCTAAAAGATGACTTTGCCCTTTGTACTTGAGGCACTGTTGAAAAATGTGTTTTAGGGGGCTGGAGAGATAGCTCAGAGTTTAAAAGCACTGACTATTCTTCCAGAGGATCCTTCAATTCCCAGCACTGACATGGCAGCTCATAACTGTTACTCCAGTCTCAGGTGATCTGACACCTTTGCACAAATATACATGGAAGTAAAACACTAGTGCACATGAAACAAAAATAATTTTTTTTAAAATGTGTTTTAGCAGGGCAGTGTTGTTACACACCTTTAATCCCAGCACTTGGGTGGCACAGACAGGTACATTTCTTAGTGTAAGGCCAGCCAGATCTACAAAGTTAGTTCCAACCAGGTGGTAGTGACGCAGGCCTTTAATTCCAGCACTTGGGAGGCAGAGGCAGGCAGAGCTCTGTGAATTCAAGGCCAGCCTGGTCTACAGAGTGAGTTTCAGGACAGCTGGGACTATTTCACAGAGAAACCCTGTCTCGAAAAACAAAACAAGAAAGAAAGAAAGGAAGAAAGAAAGAAAGAAAGAAAAAAGTTAGTTCCAGGTCAGCCAGGACCATTACACAGAGAAACCCTGTCTCGAAAAATAAGCAAAAAACAAAACAAAAACAAACAAACAAACAAAAAAGCCTGTGTTTTTTACCAGTTTGCTTGAGGGAAGGTCTATGTAGTGCTGCTGTTGCATAATAGTTCTTAAATTTTTTAGGGTTTGAGCACCTTGAAGCCCTTCCTTTAAAAGACCTTTGCTTGTGCCAGACAGTGGTAGTTCATGCCCTTATGCCTTTAATCCCGGCACTCTGAGTTCAAGGTCAGCCTGGTCTACAGAGTGATATCTAGGATAGACAGGCTGAGCTACACATAGAGAAACCCTGTCTCAACAAAACAGGAAGGCCTTGCTTGCATGTATTATATCTGTGATATTGCCATATAAATACAAAATTTCAAAACATCAGTTCACTTAGAATTTACATCAAACCAGAAGTGGTGGTATGTACCTTTTTCCCAGTACTCAGGAGATCACTGAGTTCCAGGATGGCCTGGTCCACAAAGTGAGCTCCAGGTCAGCCAAAGCTACATAGTGAGACACTGTCTCAGAACAAAGAACAATAGACTTTTACTCCTGAACTTTGATTTTTTTTCCCCCCCAAACAGAAAAATATTGTATTGCTTTACATTTCCTCTGTCCCTCTCTTTGTCTCTCTTGTTTTGTTTGATTTTGAGACAGGGTCTTACGTAGCTCAAGCTAGTTTCCAACTTGCTATGTGGACAAGGGGGAGCCTGAGCTCCTGGTCCTCTTGCCTCAGTCTCTGAGTCCTGGGATTACATGCAGATGCCACCATCCATTTAACTGTCTCTCTCTTGTTCTTGTCTTTCACTTTTTTTAGGACTAGGGATTAAACTCTGACCCTGCTTGTGCTAGGCAACTTCCCCATGGCTGAGATATATACCAAGTGGTACTCCCATCCCCTTAAAAAAAAGTCTTAGTAAGTTGCACAGGCTAGCCTAGGAGTCTGTAGCCAAAGCAGGCCTTGAACTTTTGAACTTCCTGCTTCAGTCTCTTGAAAATTAAAGGCACAAGAAACTATACATGGCTTATTTTATATTTTCTCAAATTTCCCTGTCCAGCTTAATAAAAAAATAACTAAACCAGATGCAATGGGGGTTGCTTGTCTGTTATCCCAGCACTTGGGAGACAGGCAAGATTATGACTTCAAGGCTAATTTGACCTATATAGTGAGACTTTGTCTCAGAGAGCCAAACTCTTACTTCTGCTTTAGAATCCTAACTTCTACCAATATTTATGCTATTTTGGCTAATGAATATAAACAGATCACCTCACATGTCCGTAAGTGGATGAGGAAATGACTATCTTTACCTTTTCAGATAACTGTAGACACTTTGGCACTACCTCATAACTTAGCAAGTGACAGTTTTTAAAAGGTCAATTACAATGTGGTTTGTGAACTTGGGACTCATATAATAAAATTCCATTGGTCGTCTTGCCCTTTGATCTGTGGGTTATTTTCTCCATATCCAATTTTATAGCTTCAGCTATTGTGCTGACTAAGTAACATGCAAATCCTCCAAAATGGTGACATTAGAAATTACCCAATATAAAAAAAAAATCATGTTAAGAGCTGAACATGGTGTTTCGGGTTGGAGTGATGGCTCAGCAGTTAAGAACACTGGCTGCTCTTCCAGAGGACTCAGGTTCAATTCCCAGCATATACAAGGCAGCTTATAACTGTAACTCCAGTTCCGGGAGATCTGACCCTCACAGATATACATGCAGTCAAAACACCAATCACTGCTCATAAAGTAAAAATTGACTAAATTATTTAAAAAAGGAAAGTGGTGTTTCACACCTGTAATCCTACCACTTGTGAGTCCCAAGACAGGAAAAGCCCAAGTCTGAGGCCATCCTGGCTTACAGAGTAAAACTGTCTCAGAAAGGCAAGGAAAACGACTCAGATTATTACCTTCGTCATCATCTCTGTTTCATAAGAAAGGGATTAAGTCCTGGAAACTGCAGAAGCGGTGGAAGCACCTTGCCACTTACTTTCCCTTGAAAACCTGATTTTATTGCTGACAACAAATATTGTCAGTTGTTTCCCTGGTGACAGGCTCACTTCATTTGTGTCCGAGAAAATATCTGCCAGGTCCCCATGTCTGAAGAGCCATAATTAGTGTCTTGTTTGTACAAGTTCATATTATAAAAATGATATTCTATACAAGACACTGTTAGTTCATCTGGCAGCCCCCATTGTTTCCTAGTGTTTCTGGGAAGGACTATTGTCCTTAACTTGTAGCAGAATTACTGCATGCTTGCTTCCCATCTTTTCACCTGGAATATTAAAATGATACATATGGACCGAAGCTTAGAAAATTAATATTTACTGTTTTATTAGGCTGGTTTTTATGCTCTCTCTCTCTCTCTCTCTCTCTCTCTCTCTCTCTCTCTCTGTGTGTGTGTGTGTGTGTGTGTGTGTGTGTGTGTGTGGTTTTTCTTTTTTCTTTGTTGTTTTTGAGACAGGGTCTCATTATGTAGTTCTGCCTATCCTGGAACTCACTATGTGGACCCTGGACCATGCTGGCCTCAGATTCACAGAGATCCACCTGCCTCTGCCTCCTGAGTGCTGGGATTAAAAACATGCACAACTCTGCCTGGCTAACCAGGCTGTTGTTAAGTGAAGATTATTCTGCGTTTGTTTGCTTGTGTCATGAAGTACGGAGTGGTAAAGAATACAACAACTGTCTATTCTAAGGCCTGGCCTGGATTCAGACTAGAAGCATTTTTGCCCATTTGTGTTTTGCCTCATTCAGAACACAACCCAGGGGAAGTTGTAGGATTACAATGGAAATCACTTTGCCTTTGCAAGCCCTTCTGTTGCCGGAGATCTGTGGATACACTTTGAGACACGTTGTTGCAGGGCATTCTGAGAAGTGACTGGGTCACTTCTGCTCTGTCAGCACCTCTGCAGTCCTAGAACAACATTATAACCACGGAGGAATCTAAGCTTTTTGAGCTAGGCTGTATACTCTAGGAAGGTTTTTACCATAAGATTTAGTTTTAACCTTCAGAAAATCCTACTTTCCATTCTAAATTTTAATTAGTTTAAATGTGTGAGGGCCTGTGTGCCGTAGCATGCTTGTGGAGGCCACCATGTGGATCAGGGTCTAACTCAAGTCAGTAGACTTGGTGGCAGGTGCCTTAACCAGCTGAGCCATCTCACTGCTCCCTCCATCCTAATTTTTTAAAACTTTGCCTTATGCACT